TAGATCCGAAGATGGTTTCGAAAAATACCTCTATTTCTTCTGTTAATATTATCCCAATATTACCAGACACGAAGGAAAAATTATTAGCTCTACTACATGAAGAAGAGCGACGAAGGTTTTCGCCTGAAATGCAAAAAAAATATTATGATGTTGGGAACGATCCTACATGTGGCAAAGATTGGATGGATGTTACTGATCAGATGCAGCTCGAGTTGGTTCGAGAGTTTGGATACTCGGATGAGGCTGTACAATTGTTGCGACGTGCACCACAGCTTTATCCAGGTAAAAGAATTCATACTTATAATTTTTCTTAATTCTTTATGATTGATATTATTTTAATATTCTTTTCCCCACCGTCCAGATGATCCTGAATTCCGTACAACTCAAGTATATGTTCGCAATAATATTGCTAATATTGGAAATCTTACTGAAGGAATGCCAGCACCTGATTGCCCATTGGTTCCATTAGAATCTTCTAATGATTCATCAACTTTAGTTTCTTTACGCTCACTTTGTAAACCAGGACGGCCTCTTGTTCTCCTTGGTGGATCATATACTTGTCCTCTATACCGATATATATCTCATGTTCTCAATGATATTTATACGAGATATAAAACTCATGTAGATTTTTATATGATTCAAATTCGAGAAGCACATGCCTCTGATGTTTGGCCAATTGGTAACATTGTAGATGTCAAGGAGCATCGTACATTATCTGATCGTTTAACTGCTGCACGTGAAATGGTTAAAAAAACCCATTTAGAAATTCCTGTTTTAGCAGATACAATGGATAATAATTTCTTAAAATTGTATTCACCATGGCCATTCCGTTTTTTTGTCGTTGTAGATGGTATTTTAAAACTTGTTGGAATGCCAAAAGAAGCACGTTATGATACAACAGATCTAGTTGAATGTTTAAATAATCTATTATGCAGCAAAAAGGACTAAAATTGATCCTATTCTTTAAACTTTTATTTTTTTATCATCTTGCAGATAGAGTAGATAGACTCAAATATGCAAATGAGTTTATTGCAATATATCAAATTTGTTACAGTATTTTAAAAAAACATTTATACAATAAAATTTTCAAAAGGGGTTGGAGCACGACCAACAAAAAGCTCGGCACATAAGTAGCTGTGGCTTGTTCGGCCGTGACTTACAAATTTATTCATTTAAAATAATGTAAAAAGTACGAGCGTATATATATGTTTTTGGCGAAATTTTTGGTTTATTATTAACACTATTCAATTTCGCCCGATTCTTTTTACTAATTCTTTGTAATAAGTTTATATCGTTAACAGCATCAGTATGTATTGAAAATGTGTCTTGTCTTTATTAATACTCCAAAATATATTTATTTATAACTTTTGAGCAACATTTTTTTATTTTTTGTTTTCGTTTTTTTTTGGACTTATTACTGGCTTGATGAATTAAAATCAGTGATTCATTTTATGTACGTACGAATTCCCATCTGAGGATTGCCCTTTAAAAAATCTAAGGGTTGGACCTCACCTCATAGGAAGACATTTATAAATACTTCATTAAAAAAAAATACTATATCAAAATTTCGATTAGTTAT